ACATCTTTGAGAGCTACGATTGCTAATTGGATCCTGAAGTCGTACTTGCATTTATAGTTACTAGACTTATCCAAGTGGGAGACTGTTGGATTAGTGTCTAAGCCCGTAACTATATTTGGTATGTACTTGACACGATTATGCATGGTCCTTTTGGGTTGTCTTCACCAAAGCAACTGGACAGGATGATTTATGGAGAGAGAGAGAGAGAGAGAGAGAGAGAGAAAGGTTATTATGGTTTATTAATATATTATATGAGTAATATATTAAAAGATAAATCATATAGTTTCATTGATATTGGTTAAGAATTAATTAAGAATTAATTCTGTGACTAAAAGAGATTAATTAAATAAATGGGACTAGAACTGTCAATTATAAGATAATTGAATTTGGGTTGTGAATCCTCATGGGCATAAGGGGGACAAAATTTGGAGTGGAAGCCCACTCTAATTTCGTCCAAAGGGGGCTTATTCCAGAAGGTTCTTAAGTTGCTTAGGGCGTAAGTCATCCAAATAGGGTTTTGACTGAAACCCTAGCAACTCAGCTATTTAAGAGACCCCAGGGCTTCAGTTTCGGCTACACCAAGAAACCCTAGAGTTACTATAGCCGATTTTGTGCTTCCATTCTCTTCTCTTCTCAATCATCTTCTTGCCTTGGTGTTTGTAAGCCATTAGAGGTGTTACACTTGTGACACTAAGCCTTTGAAGATCAAAGATTCTTGCAACTGTTGAAAGGTATCATCTAAACTTGTTTTATTGTAGATCTCGTTTTAATAGCATGCTAGATTAGGGTTTCCAGCTTTGGATAAATTTGCATGTTCAATAGAGAAACCTAGATCCAAAGTTTTAGGGGTTTTGCATGTTCACATAGGATGTTTTTTTGCTCAAAACCCATCAAATAACATAATTCTTTTTGTATTAATCACTTCTATTTCTTTAATTTCCGTACTTGTGTCATTAAGCCTTACATCACTAACATTAAGTACTTCCATGGAAAGGTTCCATACCAATGTGATACTATGTCATATTGTCACTACCAATTTTGTATACTTTATACATTGTTTGGTAATCAACCTGACACTTCACAACCATATTTACTTTCAATATTGAAATCGTAATCTTTCTCTAAATTTCCATTGTACAGTACATCATGACCTCTTGGATCAAATAATGGATAAAAAATTCATTTGCTTGTTTAATCTGGGCTCAAACATCAAATATCTACCATTGGGACATCTACATATAAGAATGGTACACCAACATATACCATGGGGACATTCTTCTAGTCTTTGTCATGGAATGTTATTCTTCTAAGTCAAAAATCCCCATTAAAGGATGATGATGGTTACTAAAAGGGACTAAAATCCTTAAGAAATCAACATGGTAAATATATTTACTCTAGGAACCGTCACATGAAACATTTAGGTCAAATTCGAGTTTTCTGCTACAAGATCCATTGTTTTTTAATCTTTTTCTTACATTGTTTCATTTTAGTTGATGGATCATCATCTATTTTCTCAATAATAACTATGACTAGAGATGATGTATTGCATACCTTAACAATTAGGACATCTTAATCATTACCAAGAGGTAATAGTATGAAATCTAACGGAGCTCATGTGACGTTAACTGAGACAGAGACAAAATGTATATGATTTTGAAACCATGTGGATTTTTGACATCAGTTTTCTAAAACTTGGACTATACTTGCACGCTGGGACAAACCACAAGGATCATTATGTAGTTTGCTCTAAATAATCTACCATACAACCTATAATACTATTAATAGTAAATGATATTATAATTTATCTTTATTGAATCTACTTTCAGGTATGAAAAGCCCGATATTTGCGGGTTGATGTGTTTTTTTTACTCAGAAAAATCAAAAAGAATATTCTTTTTATGCCATGGTGTAGTGTTCACTTTGTGGCTTAATAATCCAAACATTGTTGTCCATATTTTTTTATTTGAACTTAATATCTGTTTCTGCTGCTGAAGAGTGTCATATCATATGATAAGTTTTCTTTATTAAAATTTAAAATGAATTTAAAAAAGGCATCAAATTTTTTTAATATCTCGTATGATCATCAAAATTATATCAACATAAACTTGAACTGATGCAAAAAGTTTCATAAGTTTTTTTTTTTGTCTTTCTTATGTTTAATTAACATAGATCAACTTTTTTACTTTTAACAGCTTTTAATGATTTGTTAAAGAAATAGAGACTTGATTAATAGTTAAAAGGTTATTAAGATATGAAACACCCTTGGATTTGATTAATTTATAGGATATTAATTATTATTGAGAACTATTATTTAGAGTTTCAACAAGAAACGTTTTATATAGAGAGAATAATGTGTGGAAATCAAACTGAAATTACTTTAATAAAAATAAATCAAAATTATGATTTTATTGATGAAAATTTGAGCAAGTGGAGGAGGAAAGACAGCAGGAGTATGGTTGGCATGGCATGGCAATTGGCCTTAGATCTTTTTATTCCATTATTATGTATTATGTATTTTATACTTAAACGCATAATATGTTAAAACTTAAAACCAAAGGGAGCTATTATAATTTGTAAATTGATTTTGATATTACTTAAGCCACAGATGCTTGCAATGCAATATTATTTCCCTTGGATTTTGGATCAAAAGATTCCGCCATCATAATGTATATAAAAAGATAGAATAAATTAATAAACCAATCATATTTTATATGTGTATTTTATATTGGAGATTTCATATACTAAAAAAAGAGTTTTGTTTTACAGTTACATATTTCCTCTTATTTAACAAAGAAATTAGAGTTAATGATATTATTAATGAGCGATCGTTCTGATAACAATACATAAAGGAACCTAAACTTGTTACACTAAAAAACTATATATTGAAATATATAGAATTGTATAAGTTATTGGTTGTTAGAAAATCGGGGTATATAATTGCTTGGGGTATAGCATTGTTTGGATAAATGAGAGTTGTTAAACACTTTTAGATTAAAGCATTTTGAGGGTAAACTCAAAAATCTCTAATCGGATAAAACTCATTGTTTTCTAAAATGGAGGATGAAGAAGATGTTATGAAGATCTGTACCCAAAATGATTTCGAAAATTGATCATATAACAGGAAACAACCTCCTGTCTTAAAACTGTCAAATGACAGTTTTATCTTTTATGTCCCAAAACTTATCCAAAACGATCATAAACTAATTTAAAACCGGATCTAAAATATGGATCACAAAATCGGATGTATTTATAGAAAATACGGATTTTAAGGGTACACTCGACCCCAGTCAGGGGCTCTACCCCTTGGACCCCGCCAATGGATGCCACCCCTTGGATCCCACTCCTCGGGGTGCTGACCCTGGACCCCCGTCAGTTTAGGGCCGAATAGCAGTATACTTTCAACAAAGACAAAATTAAATAAATATGCACTCCGTATCATACTAATTTGTTCAATAATTATCAAAATGATATTGATCAACAAATTAACCTCATTACACTCAGATAATTTTAGTGATATAAATCACCAAGAGTGCTTTGTAGCATAATGACTTATAATGAGAATCTAGTGGTTTATAAGTAATATTTTTTACGGAAACATAATGTTTAAACTATGACACATTCAAAATATTGTTAGTATTCAACGATTAAGTCTTTACACAAGCTTTAGTATTCTACAATTAACTCTCTACACAAGCTTTAGAACGGATTGACGTGGACACCAAGTTATTGAACTTATTCATTACGCCTTTGGTAAGTTCAAGAAAGTTCATATGAATAGTTGCCTATTATAAATTATTAGTTTGTTAATATTATTGGAGTGGTGGACTGTTTCAAACTTGGGGCATTTATACCTTACAATTATTTTATTTTTTTCTTTTTGTTAATATAAACGTAAATAACCAAAAAGATTAAAAAAACAAAGTTAGTTAATCAAATAATAAATATGAATATCATAACAATTATAATAATTTGGTGTACCAAATTAGATGAGTAGGTGTGGACCTTTGATCAAAATTGCTTCGCTGTCATTGACATTTTACTGAATCAACGACCATCTTTTAATCGTGCCTATTCATTAACTACGTTCACATTTCTTTTAAAAACATCAAATAATGTATTAACTTTTTAAAAATTTGTACAAGCTCAAGTTATGTTCACATTTTGGTTATTTCTCTAACACCATTCATGTTTTAATCATGCCAATCACGAATAAAATAAGCTATCATCAATTTCTATTGTTTTTCAAAATTTGATTATACGTGTGGCTAATTGCGGTAAAATAATGGGATTTAAAGAAGCATATAGAATGTTATTGTAACTAAAATAAATAGTAAATTAACCAATAATATATAAATTTAATCATCTGATTAATTTTTTATAATATTAATGACAATATATTAAATAAAAAAGAAAGTTTTACATAGACATAATAGGTAAACGAGCAACAAGTTGTACTATAATCCCTTTTTAGATGATAAAATTAATTCTTTAAAAACAACATCTATAAATTTTGATGTTATAAATAAACTAGCTTATAAAATGTTTTCTTGTCATTTTACATTGTAATCTATAAATAAATTAGTTTTTTATCAAACATTATATTAAAAGATCTCTTATATTAATTCATCAACTAATTTATCATCTATCAATTAGGTTATTCATTACTCGCTAGTTTTTCATAAAAAAACTTAGTTTGCCAAATAGAAACTTATTTGTAAATGATATTAAGTCCATGTCTAAATTTGGAGAAATGGTTGATAAGATTTATTGCAAACTAAATTTTCTAGCAAGTTCTAAAAGTATAGGGTGTGTTTTATAAATGTTTTGAGAGTAAAGACACATCACACATACATGACACATGTATACATGTTACATGGCAATGAATGACACATACATAAGATGACACGCTCTCAAAACTCTTTAAAAAGCCGACTCTTTCCACTCACATAACCACTTTCACAAACCCCAAAACAATAGAATCTTAGAAAGAAAGAAAAAGGGTTTTTTTTTTTTTTTTAAAAAAAACAATGGGGAGCTGTTCATATGAATCGATGTCATCGATCTCCGAAAGGATCTTCCGTGAAGAACAATACCCAGAGCTTGAATTTTCCAACGAAACATCGATTGAACACGAAAACCGATCTGGGTTTTTCAAGAAAGAGGATTTATGGTCTAAAAACAGCATCAGGAAGAAGAAAAACCAAGTGTTCCTTGAAGGGTACGTTGAAACATCCGATGAAGATGATCTTGTTAGGGCCAAGAGTTTAACCGATGAAGATCTCGATGAACTGAAAGGGTGTTTCGATTTAGGGTTTGGGTTTAGTTACGATGAAATTCCGGAGCTCTGCAACACTTTGCCAGCTCTCGAATTATGTTATTCCATGAGTCAGAAGTTTCTAGACGAGCAACAAAAGTCACCGGAGGTGTCGCCGCCTCTCGCGGCGGAGCCTGAAACCGTTTCACCGCCTCCTGCTCCAATTGCTAATTGGAAGATCTCAAGTCCTGGTGAGTGTTTTTTTTCTGAATTTATTCTTCCGATCTTATAATTTCAATGCGATCTGAAACCGTAATCATCATAATAATTACTTTGAAAACCCACATCAAAACCCCTAAATTGATATCAGATCTTTGTTCTATAAATTACGCCGATTATAATGTGGGTCGAAGTCTAATTGGATTAAAAACTTTTGTAGGCGATCATCCCGAGGATGTGAAAGCAAGGCTCAAGTATTGGGCACAAGCAGTGGCGTGTACAGTTAGATTATGCAACTAGTAAATGTGTTGATTTATGCACCGATTTGAAGCAAAATTTTGGATCTTGATCATCAGTCATGGAGACACGACGGTGGTTGCCGCCTGCGGGAGGTGGTGGTGGTGGTGGGAGGAGGAGGAGAAGAAGAAGATTGTAAGGTTGTTGGTTTGGAATTCTTGATCTGGAGATGGATAATTGACTTGATTTCCATCAATGACAGGTTTTGATGAAGTGGAGAAGGAGAACTCTAATTTTGTGATGGTGTTTTGATTGTAATGAGTTTTGATTGGACAAAATTGATAGTTGTATGATATGATTTAATTTGTAGTTCGAGGAATAAATTCATGAAATAAGATTTCTCGTGTTCTTCTCTTTGTTGGGTTTAATTACTTTTTTTTTTTTTTTTTTTTTTTGTGAAATAACCGAATGTTCTTGACATGTAAAATATAACCCATGTTAGCAGTTTACGGGTTGCTGGATTCTCATAATTTAGCAGTATCAACCCAAGAAATAACAATATATTTTTGGTGATTTTTTATATAGCTAACAATGTCATAAAAATGAAACAATGTTCATGGCTTATTGTATAGATATTCAAAATATAATGCTATAAGTTGGAATATTCCTTTTAGAAGTTTAAAAGTAAAAATATAATGTCACAACAGAAAGAAATGAAAGTGTAACGATATAACATAGAAATGCAAATGATATAAGAACCATGTGCCCAAAAAAACATCGTAATGGCTACGATTTAAAATAGTCACGATCACTACAATGTGGTCCATGCAATAATGGAAATTTCAACTAGATGGGTGATTGGTCGGCCGTTGTTGATATATAACTTTCAAATATCATATGAGTTGATTTGATTTGTGTTTAACCAATTTCGGTCCTCTAATTCAGTTTGAGTTTGATGATTTATGATTAACTTTCCGTTGCGTATAGTAGTATATTGATGTGATAATCCCCTACAAACGTATAATACAAGCAAAGAGATCATAAAAATAGTAAATTGTACCATCTGGACAGCACACTGACTCTGTTCCAATCTCTAAGTGGGAGATCAATCACGGAACGCTAGCAATGTTTTTAACGTGTCAAGGTTTGAACCATAAACCTTCTGTAGTGAATTTCACATCTCAATCACCAAGCTTTCGGGAGATCATAAACATAAGTGTTTATGAAAGTATTTTATTATATAATAGTATAAAAATGGGTTGTACCCCTACTTGATTTATTGTAAACCTATAAATGGATTAAATGAAAAAAATAAAAATGTATTTTTAGATCGATCTCATGAAATTTGATTAAAATATTGATTAGATCGAGAACTGTGGATATGAGATTATTTTATTAGTTTATATAAAGCTTTACTATTTTATATGAATAAATAAAAAATTGATCAAATTTTATAATTTGGTAGTATTTTGTATTAGATAAATTAAGAACTTATCTTCTATTCATTGATTAAGAACTCTATTAGATAAATTAAGAAATTATCTTCTATACATTGATTTATGACAACTACAGCATGTAATTAGTTTTGAAATTGGACGAAGGTTTGGTGTCGAATGACTATGGTTTATTATATTCTTGTGGATTTGAACGATTGTAAAACTTCATATTTCAGGAGTATGGTGTACGAAAAATATATTTTTAAAAAATATAAAGAATAAACGTGTTTTATAACAATATAAATAAAATTAGATTTTTAGACGGAAAATAATATCATATCCAATATATGTCTTGACACAAATTACA